AGTTTAGACTACGTACCGGACACGATTGCTTGGCAAAAAACCCTCACAAATTGGGATTATACACTCAACCCACATGCCCTCCATGTAACCTACATGAGGAAATGGAGAAAACCCACTTGTTTCGGTGTCCAGCCCTAAAGACAAGGACGGAAAGCCAGAGATACTGGGGAGCAAGAAGACAGCTAATGAATTGCTATTAATTAACTGCTATAAATGTACCCCCCGCTTTGGGGGATGCTGAAGTCAAAGATTAAGGGCGAATTATATATATCATAAAGCCTGCCATTTGAAATGAATATATATTCCAACGATCATCTAACCAATAGCAACATTGACCTTCACTTGTCTCCAAAGAGTAATAACGATATGGCAATCATTTAGTACGTATGTTCGTCTGGTAAAATATTGTGTAATTTTGGAGCTAAACAAATTCAGTCTCTATAAATTTGCACAATTCTGACTTTTATATTGATATAACAACGAATATCAAATAATTTAGCTCTCTATTCTGATTAGTTTAGATAAAACGGAATTTAAACAGAAAACAACTGTTTGAGGCAAAAAAACGCATTCAGTTATGTTTAAGTAAATTCAAGATGAACCTAAAAGAGACCATTTTGACCATAGAATTTATCGTTTCATACACCTTTTCTCCAAATTACCTTTCTGTAATTATGCGAAATAATAGATTTTTTTACAAAATATTCATAAATCAAAGATTTAGTTGAGTTCATCTATAAATTAGATTTCAGCCAATTAAAATGTTATAAGAGACACCAACGTGAATAGTGCTGACATTTACCATTCCTTTGTTTTGCTAGAATAGATATTTTTAACTACAGTATATGCGCCTAAATTGATAGAGTTCCCTAATAATTGTAAAGGGCAAAACTTGTCTTTTAACTAAATATCAAGCTGCTTTCACTCTTTAAATAACTCACTTAAATGAGAGTAAGTTGAGTAATGATGAAAGGAATTATTGAAAAAACTAGTTATTGGCGAAAATTATGATTTAGTAAAAAAATAGAACCCGGTCTTGCAAAAGAGTTTCAGACTCCGTTTGTAGAGAAACTGACGTAATATCTTCAGATAATCTTGTTTTATCGTAAATTTAATCTGATACAATAAAATGAATTTTTCAAATTATTGTTTATATCTTAACTATTGTAATGTTTTAAGTCCCGAGCTTTGATTGATAATAGTCATATATATATATATATATATATATATATATATATATATATGTAAACGTTAAAATCGTTTTATGCTAAAAGTTTCATTCCAATAAAAAAAATATGGACGGTATTTTTAACGTAGTCTTAAAAAATATATATATATCTTTTCATGAATTAAAAGTGGCTCTTTATGAGAAGCATATGATCTAAGGATTTAAATAAACACTTGTAAATTATATTTTGAAAGTGTTTTATCTTAGAAGATATATAGTATTCGAGTGACTATTTACGAAACATTACGGTGAATATATTTATATCATTTATAAAACTATTTCTAATATACGAGTAGATCTGGCTGTTGAGCAACATTAAGTACATTGGAATTAAGCATTTCCATTGATAAATCTGCTTGCATTGAATTGAAATGCCTATTTTTATGCGTCATTTAAATATGATTTAGCTTGTTTGACTATTTAAACAAATATTATATAAACTTTCAATTAAGACTTAAGAAATTGTTTTTCCTTCTCATTACAGTCATAAAATTATGGAAATAAAAATGATTTATTACTCAACTTTTGTTCTTTTATATTTTTATTTTCTACAGATTACTTAATCTCAGGCAATTTCAAAGAGTCATTAAAAATCAATTCCATATTTCAGTTGCATTTGAAGACGCAGTTTCTGGCGTTTGTGGTTGTAATGGCCAATTTTTAGATCAATAGGTGAGACATTAAACAACCCTCCAGTTTCAACGACTAATTGTTACTTCTATTAGTGATAAGAAAGAAGTATTAAAGCCTTCAAGCTCATGTAGAGTATCTTAACAAGAAAAAGACGTCATCTAATTTTACTGGAGTAAATAAATCTATTCCTTTCTGATTAAAGCATAATAAGCATAATAAAAGCATAAAAATCAATAAAAGATTGTAATCGGTTTTTTATAGTTTCAAAATTGAAATCAAAACCTTGAAATAGCAACTGCCTTTGCAGATAATTTAATGTCAAAAGTTTGGGCTACTTTTGCAAAGATTGTAATTGAGGATAGTGGCAGTTCAAAGCTAATTGCTTGCATTTAATATCAATGAATCGGCTTCTATAGTTGTCTACTATAATTGTTTTATGTAATTTGGGCTGCCCATAATTCCTATTATTCATGAACAGATACATTATTCCCTAGTTTTAAGTAAATTGAAAAGAGATACCTAAGAAGTTTAATGATTAAATTTGCCTTCTAACGAAATATCGCTCACCTTTTCATTTTTATAGCAATTTATGCAAATAAGGGTATGGAATTATAATCTATCTTCTTAAAACTCACAATTACAACGAGTCTGTATATTTCAGACTAATTTTAAGCAGTAAGAAATCACTGAAAAGAAATTTAAGCATAGACACATAAACAAGTTTCGAATGCAGTTGCACCAAATTTCATTGGCTGTCACTGACTGCTCTGTTTTCTCCACTTCAAGATTATAAATATCTGTTTTATCACTCTTCAACCGAATTCTGTGCTTAAGAAAATTGCTGAAAATAAATTTTAGGCTTAGACACAGGAGCACGTTGCGAACGCAAGTGAAGCTATTTCTATCTTATTTGGCGTTATCAAGAAACAGATAAATTTACAAGCCTTATTATTGATCTGAAACAGTTTCTTAGGCAACTCTTTACCTCCAAATACTTTCTATATTTGTAACTACATGTTTTTTCCCTTTCATTTTAAAATCTTTTTTAATGTTAACTGTTTGATATACATATGTCATTGTTGAACATACGTGGAAATAAATTAATTTTACATTTCTTTATTTCTAAGACTGGCAGCATCTTCGGTTTACCTTTGAGTTAACTCCTAACAATTTATTGAAGGCCATTAACTTTTGTTAATTTCATATTTATTTATTTGAAACGATTAAATGGTAAATAAGTTGAATTCAAATCAAACATAAAAATAAAAGTGATGATTTAATGGAATTTAAAAAAATATATTCATTGAACTGGAGCCCCAATTAAAATGCGCTAAATTTTAAAAATAGATTTTACTTGAATCGTTTTAAAATCCACGTATTGATTTTCAATGAATTTTTTAAAATTGATAGGTTATAATTTATTCCTCTGTTGTCAAATAGATAATAATCAAATATCAAGCTATTTACACTTACTTGAAGCAAAATATCACAATAAAGTTAATTGCACAAGAAGCTACACCGTTAAAGTTCTAATATCTTCAAAACAATTTTGCGTTTGAGATTTTCTAAGATGAATTTGAATTCGCAGCACAATTGTGCTTTGTCAATGTCAGTAGGGGTGACATTTTGGCGATTTTTAAGGCTTGGAGGATAGTACTGTGTTTGATTTCAGGTGAGTTAAAAAAGTCGCTGAAAAAGACTAGGCTTAAATTAGAAGTTCCTTTAATTGTATTTTTTATTTTCTTTTCAGATGAGATCCTAAATACGAAGTAAATTTATAATCCCTTTGATATGGCCTGTCAGAATCTTTTATTTTTTCTTTTATGCTGATCATCGTAATTAAAGTGCGAGTAAATCGAAATCAAACATTCCAAAATATATAACACAGAAAATGTTATCAAATATTTGAAAATCGAATGGTGCGATTGCCAATAATTACGTTATGAAAATATTGTAGATTGTAAAGCTATATTTAAAAATAGAGTTTGAAGAATCTTATAAAAGGTATCAGCTTTAATAATTTCTTACTCAAGGACTCTTCAGAACAAATGTCATTTTCTAATAACTTCCAATTTAACGTAAATAATTGCGTATGCCCTCTTATATATGAAGGTTAATGAATACGAATTTCACATAAATATATAGCTTTAAAGTCTTTTAAATCCGTTTAAGAAGGTACAAAATTCTCTCAAATTCAACGACTTACAAAAATAAAAAAAGAAAAAGGTTTTCCGAAAGTATAATTGATGATCCATTCGATTTTGTTGGAAATAACACAAACCAAAAAGAATAGCAAAAGCCGACAGTTAAACCAGCACATGAATGATTGATGATTGAAGAAAAATCAATTTTTGTACTTTGGCAAATTTTAACGAAAGACTCCATTTTGATATAAAGGTACATTAAATCCCTTTAAATCATTAGTTTTTTGCGGGTTTGATTTGCATTAAATCTATTTATAATTAATTTTATTTACTTATTGGTATTTTAAAGCAAATGAATTAAATTAAAAACATTTAGTAGCCTTCAGTTATTTTGGTGATTAAAGTTTAATTGGCTAATATCAAATATGTTGCAAAACTCGAAAACGTCTGTCAGTCATAATGATAATGGGGAAGTAAATTAAATCAATTTATGTTCAATAACAACTTAATGTTTTTGAAGTGCATTCATTTGAAATGCTTATAATAAGTAGAAATGTAGAAAAAAGTGAATACGGCTTGTGGAGTCGATTCTAAAACTTATGAATATAGAAAAAGTTTGGGCATGTTATTGATTAAGTAATTATGCTTCCAAATGAATAAGTAGACTTATAGTAGAATCGGTTGCCTGCACTTACTCTAAATGACAAAGCGATGTTCCAGATGTTTAGGCAATTATTGTAGAAGACAATGTGCAGTCGGAAACAGAAAATGAAATTTGATAATGTGGCTAACGTTAAATTCTAGTTAACGATTTTCTTTTTAATTGGGGCAAGTGCCGATTGGGGCAAATTGTATACTCTGATTTAACGACTGACATATCTCTGCGCCATGTGCTCTTACTTGTATTGGATATTTACGGAAATAAATATCTCAAATTTCCCTTCACCTTTTTTTGTACCGAATCCACGAAGTCCTACTTCAACTCTTATTCAACTATGGAAAAATTAGTAATTTAACTGCTTTGCATAAAATATTTTTATTGACCATGTCTAATATTACTTAATTTGCTTAACAGATTCTGTGTGTTATCCTTCTGGTTGTTCTGATCACCATTGTGAAGGGTTGTAACAATAATAGTTAGTTTTGCTGTGACATTTATTTAATTTTCTACATTTTCATTGCAAACTATGTATCATTGATAAGTATTTTTCCTTATAATTCAACTATAATTTTGTGACTAAAGTTATTAATTTCTCAATTTCAACTTTAAAACCATAAATATTTTATATTAAAATAATGAATTTCTTTTCATTCTTTAAAAGTATAATGATATAATTGTTTAAAGTGAACAAAACTCCAACTGAAGGGCCTTCTACAGATAGTCCAGCCCCACTTCCCACTCCGGTCACTTCTAAAGAGGAAACAGAGAAGCCAGAGGATGAAGAGGAGACAACGGAAGGAAAGAAAAAGGACGAAAAGGAAGAGAATGGAACGGGCAAGAAAAATTGAGACGAAGAGAAACAACAAAAATGTATTGATTAAACTCAATTGAAATTAAAAATTGAACTTTTAACTAAAATCTTTCATAGCATATGGGACCACATGAAATGTTATATTTTATAAATGAAATTAAATCACGTGTATCAACATATTTAACCAATATTTCGTTTTTAAAAATATGGTTTAAGCAAAGTTGTTATTATTTTGGATATTTTGGTTTCAATGATGATGAATTTAGAGTCAAATCTATTTTCCAGATGTAAAAGAAAGAAATGTTTTATTATATAATAATCTATTCAATTTATTTTGAAAATAAATGCATTAAAATTTAAAAAAAGAATGCCGGTCTGAAACGGGCTCAATCGTTTCCATTTTCATAAATTTTATTAAAGCTCGTAGATTTTAAAAGACAATCAAATGCATAGAGCCTATATCCAAAATCAAGTAAGTTCTGCCCTTATGTTATTAATGAAAGAAAAAAACAGTTTGATTTAATTTTAGTTTTACAATATTCTAACTGTTTATGAATTGAGAACTTTAAGACCAACAGAGTTCATAAAGGAATCAACTTTAATGTGCTTAACGCAGGCAAATCCTTGTTTGCTGGAAAAGTCTAGACGTTGCGACCGTACTAAACATCAGATTATTAACTTATGTCCACGGAAATACATTTAATTCAGATCACAGAAGCTGATTTAATTATAAAATGCATTTTTTATTAAGCGGTTGGCAATGCAAATCGAATAGAAAGATTTAAATATATTCATTTATCCATTTTGAGGGTGTAGCACATGAAGTAAAACACAGATATTCAGTTCTTCGTTCACCTTAGGCTTTTTTTTCTTTTACTACGCGCCATTTTTATTGCTCGAAATTTATAGATTTGTGGATATCTCATGAAATCCTGATGCGAATAGACAATTTGCAAATTGCAACTAACAATACCCAATTGAAACTGCAGTGTCCAAAATTTTGAATTTTAACATCATCCAAAATGTTCTGAAGTAAAACATTTCTAGTTGCACCATCTCCTGGCCATTTATTAATTATGTATTAAGAAGCCATATAACAGTCACGTGACAATGATAAATTTGATCTGAACTTTAAACTACAATTTTCCATTATATCATGCCATCTCCTGATGTTTCTTCTAATTTCATAATTTTAACTGACAATATTGTCTTTATACGTCTCAAATTCCTGATGTGGATGAATCATCGTTGACGAATTATAAACAATTGACACTGATATGACTACGACTTTTGATATGAGATAATCATCGAAATCTTTTGAGGTTTTCACTAGCACTAATTAACATAAATAATTAAAAAAATTGTATTTAAAAATTCATATATGATTAGGAATTCATTTCAAGCATCATATTAAAAAATAACTGAGATATAGGGATAAAAGTAAGGTTTTAATAGTAAGATATGTTGGCCTGCAATTGCTGATAATTATTCATTGCTTGAGAAATATTAATCATCAGTAAAATTTAAACCAATATAATTAAATCTTTCTTTCAAGGTCAATTTGGTACTTCTATCATCCTACTGCCAATCTTAATTATGAATCGCCATGGAGGAGAAAAGCCTGTTTAATTGAAAAGGAGACTTTGTGGGAGCATTCACGTTTATTTGCTACTTGTGATTCTGTACGTGATTAATGTTTCCCTTTTTGCGTCAACAGTATATTTATAAGAGAATAGGCTCTTCCTTTTTAGTTGTTTTAATAAAAGTGACCATTAGCAGAGCTGTCTTTCAAATTTTCATTTCCTTCAATCTTTCGTGTAATCCTATTAATTCTAATTACTATAGACTTCATCGATGTCCTCACCTTTGATCCTATTAAACAGTATCGGCACCGAATGTTTCTTATACAATCAGAAAATTTAAAATTTATACACTGATCTTTTGCATTTTCAGGAATATATTAAGCCCACTTATTGGCCAATCGCCCACTCACCTCTAGAGCACGCGATCGTGGCTGATAAAACAATTTAGTCATAATTTTTAATACTATTATTATCCACTAAGATATCTAGTTGAATTCTTCTGAAACCAAAAATTACAATTATTGCAACATTTTTTTGATTCAACGGAATACAGTCGTGGCTACGCAGGCCATGTAAAGATTATTAAGTTTGGATTGATTTAAAGGTGTCTTGGAAGCCCTCTGATTGTCCCCCCCTTCAATACCCAGCTATGATATGCACGTTCAGTGGATTAGTCATTTATTCCGGACAGCATGGGCGAGTTAGTATTGCACCCTCCACAATGTCTAGCAATCATTGTGTATTTAAAATCTAAACATGGGATATAACGCAAACCCTTATCGCTTACTGAATTACATTTTAGGGCACTATGAAGAGTGTCATTTAATCAATATGCTAAAGCAACTTTTATCGATTTGTCTCAAAGAATTTATTAACTATTTTCTGTTCTGATAGTGTTCAAGATATATTAATACTTTGTTCATTTTCAATATTATTATAAAGAGACTTAAGGATTAAGTCGGGCATTATACAAAATTTGATTAAATAGAATCGGTTAAGCTTGCTAAATTACAAACTAGCTTTCATTTTTCTGTTTTAATACTCGCTTTTCTAGTTATCTGTAGTAGTAGCGTTCTGTTATGTTTATTTTACTGATCATCATCGTAATCTTCATCAAATCGTCGTTCAGCTTTTGCCCGAAATTTGTCAAGTGTTTCTTCAATCACTGGCAGATCTCTTACGAATGCTACTAGAATTAACATATTAACTGTGTCTTTGGTCTCGCCTTAATTACTGTATCCATCCTCAAATATTTTAACATTTAATTGTCCTGCATTAAAGTTCATTGCAATGTCATTTTATTAACTTTTATTTAGAAGGCATTCTAAAATATAAACTGAAAGCATATGAGTCATTTGGAGAAAAATGAGTGCGAATCAATGGACAGCATATTTGTGTCAATTCATTTGCATGAAATGCATAACCTTTCCAGGCTTTCAAAATTTGTCATAAGCTTTCAGTTGGGTGACAAAATAACAAGAAGAGCAAAACGCGGAAACTAAGTAGCCAATGAATCTGCTTTAAAATTATTTAAAAAATTCAATGACAAAAATTTGAAATAAAACCTTTCTAAAGTGATTTCAGCAATTATAACTACTTTCCTCTGTTTATCAAAATATATTTTTCACCAAAATGATGAAATATTAAATAAGAAAATTATGACCTCATTTAGCTAATGTAATTAAAAGCACATTCGGTTTCATGGCAACTAGTTGATCCAATTTTCTGCGATTAGACTTAGTTATTGTTGTCAAAAATTATCCCGCATATTTAAACTAAATATAAACTGGGTATATTTTAATTCAAACAAAATAAATCTTAAACAAAATACTTTGTCTTTACTTTGTCTACCGAGCCGTGTTATTAGCCATTTTATGTCTACACAATTTAAAATGAGAACACATCGGAAATATAGTCTGTTGACAGTGCCAAATATATTGTAAATTTTTCTAGCAAAAAAATTTAGTTTTATTTATGTAAACCTTACAAAGACGATATTTATAAGTTTTTTTTAAAAAAAACATTTTTCAATTAAACGTGAATGTTCATGGCATTCAAGAGCTTGTTTAACCACTGTTGAAAGACCGAAACAAAATATATGCGTTTGATGAAATTGAATAGATTTTTCAATTTTTGTCAAATATAATTACACGTTGAGGATTCCCAAGCTCATAATCATTTAGTTACGCTTTGCAAATTTAAGTTAACTGTGTCATTTGAAAAGGATGAAAGAAAGCTTCATTCTGTTAACCTGTTCAAATAGTTTGTTGCATTAACAGCTACCGATATTATTAAATATTTTGAGACTATATTTAACAAATTATTTTGGTATTTATGATCCAGTTTGAATTGAAACCATTATTGAAATAATGATTCATATAGATGAAAATGGCAAAAAAATTCTGCTCTTCATTTTCAGGTGGACGAAACTATTGCTTCGGAATAGTTATCTCACATATTCCATTAAGTTAATATAATATTTAAAAACCAAGTTTAATTATGATTTTCACATTTTATTAGTTTCATATAAATTATGGACGGTGTTAGTGATGAGGATGCTGATGATAATTTAGACTGCTTTGCGCCAACATTAATTGAAAATAATGAAATAATATTCCTAATTAAGACAATGTTTTACTAATTGTTTCATGATATATGCTATGGGGGTTTCAGTTCATTAAAATGGATGTGCTATTGTTATCGACATTATACTAGAACATCGAAAGGTTTCATTGGCAATCAAATGACACCAAAGGCAAAGAAACAAGTTGCAATGCTAGATAGCTATTCGTTATGCTTATAATAATATTGTAGAAGAAACGACATGCAGCAGATATAAAGATTTCACATTCAAGCCAAGTTACCTTCTCACACTCCAATTCGACTTCACAAACAGAAGCATTTCACTTATTCATCCTGATTCAACAACACAACTGGTGATTATGAGAAGAACTGTCCTTATTGATTTCGGAAATTTGACTTCAAAATGTTCAGCTATATTGTATAATATTTATAAAAATGTTTTCGAAGGAAGGAAGAATTTAATGTACTCCGTTAATTTAATTTTTGATTGCTTTAATATTTATTTGCAATTTAGCTGTTTTACGTACCTAAAAGTAGTTGTACTAGAGCAAGCGTTTTAAATATGATCTCATCTAAACTAAATGCTTCTTTTAAATAATAGTTTATAATCGACATTTCTAATTAGAAAGGCTATGAAATAAACGATGTCTTAATTGTATAGTGGGCAACACATTTAGTCTCCTGGAGAGTTATTACTGCTGTCTTTTGATTAAAACTATAATTCAGCCATTTTGTATTCCATGGAAAGTTGGTTTATGAAGTAAAACAAAGTTCTAAGACGAATTTATCAAATCTCAGTTAATTGGCATTCTAATTACACGTTAACGCTGGCACAAACGACGTTTATTTTAAGTTCGAAACAGAACTGGATTTTGCATGGAGTTCATACAAAATATGTGCTCAAAACAAGAATAGCATATTTAATACCAAAAATATGTATAAGTAGCTAATTCTACTTTATGATGCTCTAAATTCAGTTAGGCTTTGTCTTTTGAAATAACTGATGTGCAAAATTCTCGCCAGGAAAAAAGTGATTTTTCTTTTTCATCTCTCTAAATGAAATTATAGAAGAAATTAAGTAAAGATTTATAATTACTTTGGAATACGGATAAATTTAGCAATCAGACTTAAGCGCAACACATTTTTAAGATGAATAGCAAGAGGTAACTCAGTTTCATCATTACTATCGATGGCTTTGTTAAAATTTCACCTTTAAGTTTATTTTAATTAGATGTTAAATTGATTATATTTTCTGACTAGTGCATACTTATTTAAAATCCTGCTTCAAGCACCAAAAAATGAGAGCACTAAAATACATCCGAGACATTTCGCTATGTCATTTGACTAACATGTATTTAAACTGAACTTTCGTCGACTTCACTTCGCCAACCTCCAATACAAGGTTTTCACAAATCTATCATTCCACTGACTAAAAGTAGCCATATTCGAAAAAAAATATTCACTGTTCTATCCAACTAATTAGGGCACAGTTATTGAATACTCAATTATATCTTGAGAGGCAAATTTAATACTATAAAAAACTACATATATGAGCCCCTTCCTCATTGATTTCATGCTAATGCAAAGGAATATGAATTTAAACGCACTATTTGCAGCTTTTCATCATAATTGAAATTATTCACAAAAGATTAAATGTTTATTAGGAAACAGATTTGTTCTAAGTAAAACATGAATTGATACAAGTAAAGTTAAATGTTCTTGCCAAGTATGCTTTTATTTGAAAGGAACATGAAATTCTACTCTATTTCGTTCCATGTGTTTCGACTATGCATGATGTTTTCACATACAAATGTATCGATTTTAGTTAACGAATCACCAAATTACATCAACTTTTCTTAAAAATTACCAAAGCTAACACTTGTTGAATAATAATTTATCGACCATTACTGCAGTAGACTTTATATATACACGAATTCTGCAAATGTAGAATGTATAAAATAAATTCATCCTTTGTGAAGGCCATGTTGAAAGCGAATAAGTTTGATTTTTTTTCCATTTTGAAGTTGTATTGTGGGACCACCTGGCTCCCAACTAGTATTTACTCACTTGTCATTAGTTGTTCAACACTTACCCTCTTTCTCAAAATGTATGTAACAATGTTGCGATTATGTAAGTAACTGGCTTAACTATTGATGAGATACATATATCAATTAAAAAAATCATACCCAACAATATATCCCTTCCATTTCAATGGTATTTGAATTAAAATTAAAATTGCATTTAAAGCAGACAATTGTCTGCCGGTCCAAATACTAACATTATAGTTTTATCGAAATTAAAATCTATAAAAGTTACATGGCACACTAACTGACAACATTGGAGTAGCTAAAATACATTTACTTGGTATCAGCTTCAATTCTATAAAATTGGTTTCATATAGAGTGTTTTGAAATGTAGTTTAACTCGAATTCTAGTCATCAGTAAATTAAATGTAATTAATATTTTTCATCAACAGATTCATCAATTTATATATATATATATATATATATAAATTTATTTCATATATCTTTTCTCAAAATTCTCTTTCTTTTGTCATGCGAAGTATATGTTATTAAAAAAAATATTCATAAAACTTCCAATTTAGCTGAGCTCAGTTATTAACTTTATTCAAACATATGGAAATGTTTCAAGAAGCAACAACTAGATCAGTGCTAACATTTAAGGAACAAAAATATTACATTTAATTTTTTGTTTTGCTTTAAAATCCTTTTTTAATTAGCTTTTTATAGAAAGGGCTTTAAATCCCTACGTCATTATTAAACATATGTGGCAATAAATTTGTTTTTATTCTGTTTATTGTTATGACTGACAGACCAATCAGGGTATTGCAGCATCTTGGGTTTACTCTTGAAATGAACTACGCAATGGTAACGTCCGCCAATCAATTGAAGGCCAATCCAATTTTTTATTTCATATTTATTTATTTGAAAAGATTAAACTGTACTTTAATTAATTATTAATTAAACTTAAAGTCGAATATGACATACAGTGGGGTCATGGTAGTTTGAAGTCAACTGCCAGGTAATAGACACTTTTGCCGTAAGAGTATACGTTGCCCAGGGTGCACCACGTGGAGGTAAGTCTATCACACACCCCATCAAACTTAAAGTAAAAACTAATAATTCAAGGGGATTTAACTAAATTTGTTGACAGACAGGAGCCTCCGAGCAAAATGTGCTAAGTTTTGGCAAATCAAATTTGATTGAATCTTTTGCTTAATCTTAGAATTTTAATTTGTTGAAACTGGTAAGGTGTTCTTTAAGCCTTTGGCGTCAAATAAATAATGACTGTCCATGAAGATTATCTTATGGTCTATTTTAAGTGAAATAACACAATTCATTTAACTGTTTATGTGGCTAATCGCAAACTGTTCAAATCGCCTCTAAATGATCTTGAATTCAGAATTTCTACAGAAAGTTTTCATTTCCAGTCTAGTATGGAGGTATAAAGATGAATTTCAGGTGAATTGAAAAATCACCGAATATGAATTTTCTTCAATTGCTCTATTTATTATTTTGGCTTAGATTTTAGGTGTGAACCGAAAAATTGTCCTTGTTCTAGTTATGCCTATCATCATAGCTATATTTTACATTTTTTATAATCAAATGAATAACTTTTATTTAAATATTGGTAACTTTCATCTTGCTATGACGCCGCCTCTGCTTTATTCCTCACACAAAGTACTTACTTTACGCGAAAACGGACCTATTTAAGTCGAGTCAGTAAAACATTAGACTTAAATTTTGTTATTTCTGCAAATTGTAATTTCGAATCGAGTTTCACTTAAGTAAACCATTTCTACTCCTCTCTGATTATGCAAAGACATTTTCAAATGAATTATTCCACAATTAACTTGATGCGATTATCGAAATTTTTGAGAGCACATTAACGTAAACCTAGTTGATTTAAGAAATATCCGTGATTAAAGTGTTAACCTAGCATAGTCAATATTCCTTCTTTAATTTGTAATCCTACAAGTACCATTTGCTCAAGCTATGCTTTACTTCACTCTGTGAAGACATGCTAGGTTGTAATAATCGTTTTTATTTTTGAATAAAGTACAAACCAATTCTGTTTTGATATGAATGGGTTTTCATTGACGTTCACATAAAAAATGAAATAAATAGATGTTTTTTTAAATTATATCACATAAACAATTTTGAAAATAAACTTATATAATTCTTAGCAACATCGATGACCTGGTCATTCATTAATAAAATATGAATTATGGTGATGAACAGACCTTTGAGGTATTGATATCCCAATATCAAAAAGAAACTCATGTTAATGAATAGCATTTTGCTTTTAAAATTTATATATTTGGTTATTTGAAATCATAGTTCCTCTTATAAGGGAATGCAAAATGGCTATTTGTGCCATTGAATGTAATTTTTAAAACATTACGAAGAAACTTTTACAAATTGAAAACCACTCAAAATTTAAGAACTAACAGAAATTCAAAGATGAAATACTGTTGTAGGAATAAAATAGAAGTTCACCCCGTTATAAATTGTATATCTATTAACAAATCAGTATTGATAGTAACATTCGATAGATGTATTATAATATGAATGCAACACAGTTCAAAAATTTTATTGGACAGTTTTCTTCAGAAGGCATTGAACTGACCAAGTAGTTCAATCAGCTAAATAATTTACATAATTGTTGCATTTAGTCATATATAAAATAAAATAAAATATTCTTAGTAAATTTAATGTAAACCCTTAGGTCATTCTAATATTAACAACATTTCGAATTGGTGTAGGAATAGTCAATTAAATACCGTTACTCTGCTCCACGTGCTTTTGCTTGCATTGGTTGTTTGTGGAAATAAATATCTCAACTTTTCCCTTCATGTTTTTTTGAACTACAGTCACTGAGCGACATTTACGAAGTCTGTTGTCAACTCTTATCCGACTATGGCAAAACTGGTAATATAACAATTTCTAATGAAATATTTTTATTGACCATGTCTTATATTATTTTATTTGTTTAATAGATTCAATGCGTTATTATTCTTGTTGTTCTGATCTCCATTGTGAAAGCTTGTGGCAACAATAGTTAGTTTCCATGTGACATGCACTTAGTGCTTTTCATTATTTTTTGACAATTTTTTCATTGATAAATTATTTTTTCCAATAATAAAATTAAGTTTTCTTAATTTCATATTTGAAACTCTAAAAGTTTTAATTGAAATTATGAAATGCATTCCATTTTTGAAAGTATAATGGTATGATTGTTTAAAGTGAACAAAACTTCCACTGAAGGACATACTACAGATAGTCCCCTTCCAATGCCTACTACAGTCAGCTCTGAAGGTGAAAAAAAACCGCCAGAGGAGACTACGGATGAAACGGGTAAAAAGGACGAGAAAGAAAATGAACATGGAAATACACAGGATGAAAAGAATTGAGTAATCGCATGGCACTTTAATGTTAACTTCCATTTAAAAACATTTGACTGAAAATCTTTCGCAACATTTTTGCACTTCAGTGAATATTTGATTTTATATCTGAGAAGAAATTGCGTATATCCACACATTTTACCATTGTTTTTTAAGAAAATAAATTTAAAATTAGCTTCCCATTATTCTTTGTGTGTGTTTGATTTTTAAAAAATGCAAACTTAGAGTAATTTCAATTTCTTGACGAAAAAGTAGAAATGTATTAATCATTTTTAAATCAATGCAACATTTAAGGGAAAGAACGAGTGTTTGAGGTTTATAAAAATTTGTGAAGACGTGGTCTTTATTGATTTTTTCCCCATAGCTTTTCTTGAAGCTTGGTATTTCTATAAAATATAGAAATAATATCAAAAGTCAATTGATCATTATTCTAATGTAAATAATAATAGAAATAAACAATTCGATTTAATATTCATTTTAGAATTAGTCAATTATTATGCCTTGAGCAAGTTTAGATCAATAGAGCATGGAAGTGAAATCTGATTTTCACAGAATTACATTTAATTCTTTTTACAAAAGTTTATTTAATTATAGAATTCTTTATCAATAAAATTGATCTATAATGCAGACTAATAAAATAAAATAAAGACCGCAGTGTCTACGGTTTTGACTTCAACAACATGCGAAATGTTTTGCGTTAAACATTTCTAGTTGAAGTACATGCTAGCCGTCCATATCTTCTGCATATCTGAAATCAAAAATAAGTCACTTACCTCTCCTAAATTTGATCAGAACTTCTATTTACTTTTCATCTTTGGAAATAAAAGGTTGCAACCACTTCAGTTTTTTAATTTGGAAAGTTTGTAGCTGAAAATGAACTGCTCAACATTTTTCATTTTGAATTTTTCTCTGAATACACCAACTGAATGCAAGTCTCCATAAATATTAACATTCTAAAGTTCCAAGTAATTTTCCGCTATCCATTAATAGGATTGGGATGAAAAGATTTGAAGATCAATGATTTCTAAACAGAATTAGTACAAACATATTTGTAGCATTCGTTAAAGTAACTAACTGATATTCTTGAGATCGTCTAAATATTGTCTATATGAAATAGTCTAAAAGAAAGCTATATTAATGATCTTTGAAATCTAACAATTGGGTGCATAAAACCCGAGAGAATCAAAAGAGAATCCCTATAATATTAAATTTGGTTTTTGAAAAATTTGACCACGATTTGCATCAATTTTTTACTTTTGTACGAGAAAGGAAAATAATAACTATTGCTGTAGTACTTTTTCAACGTTACTCAAAATTCATGCGCAATTTTAAAATGTTAAATAATTTGAGAAATAGCAGAATAGAAGATGTAAAAATATTAAAATTCCTGCAATCAAGATACTGGATTTTACTGACCAACTTATATCAATCTATTGTATAGATATTTTAACAAATGATTCATATCAGTTTTGTGAGTTAAAACAGTTATTTTTCAAATTTTCGGATTTATGATATTTATCATTAGCACTTAAAATTTGACTTGAGCTTCCCCCATGGGGGGAGGGTTCATATATAGCAGTTAATCACTAGCAGTTCATTGGCTGTCTTCTTGCTTCCCAGTACCTCTGGCTTTCCGTCGTTTTCCTATGGGCAGGACAAGGAATCAAGTGGGTCTTCTCTATTTCCTCATGCCGGTTACATAGGTTGCATGTGGATTGGGTGTATACTCCCAATCTGTGAAGTTGTTTTGCCAAGCAATCGTGTCCGGTACGTAGTCTAAACTGAGCACTATTAATATTATATGGTAATCATGAGTAAAATGTAAAGTTAAGAAATATTTCATTGAATTATGTATGACGTCTAGAGATTCATGAACAGGAGTTCAAAATTTTGCCCCATAGTAGTGAACAATTAATATTTAATCAAAACAAGATGTGTAAAGTGTTTGGACGATTAACTTGTTTGAAATAAGCAGATTAAATTGCATAAAAAACAATATTTACTTTTTTCTAGATTTTGAAAAATTTCATAACTTTTTTTCGAAAATTTAAGATTATTTGGAATTTTTCATTGGTCTATAACATCATCGATATGCTTTTAAGGTAAATATCTCTATGTTTTGCAACCGACGTTAATAAACATTTTGCTGATTTCAGAAAGCCTTTAAACTAAAAGCCTAGGGAAACTTATGAAAATGCATAAAGGTAAATATGAACTTCAATACTACGAATTATTATTTTTTTCATTCCTAACTAGTAGTGGTACCAGCACTTTCAGGTACATATGGTAATGACATGAGAATCTTTTTTATTTCGGTCCAATATATTTACGAGGTATAATAACGTATTTGGAAATTTATCTTAAAATTGAGATTATTTGGACCTTAAAGCAATCATTTCATTTATCTTTTCTCCAAATTCATATTCTGAAGTCAATTAAAGAAATGTATTACTTTAGAAAATATTCGAAATTTAGCTGACGTCAGTTAATAACTAGATTCTAACAAATGGAAATGTTTCAAGAAGCAACTATTTAAATAGTGCTAACATTTAAGGAATAAAATTATTACATTCAATTATTTTTTTAGAAAATATATTATTAACTGCGTTTTATACAACCATATTGACAAATAGATACACAGTCATTTTAATGACAAAACATGATATCTAACAAAATATTGACCATCATTTACTCTTTTGGCTACTTACGCAAATGAGCGTAAATGATGATCAAATAAATTTTCAGAAAGCTAGGTCTCTCCGTCTTCACATGAAACATTGAAATGTTACAGATGCAATTTAAAATAAATAAAGTAATATCTATAGAAAATCATGCTTAAAGTAAATTTAATTAACAAAAATGTAAAATGGTTTTCAAATTAATATTTATAAGAAAATGTATTTCAAAGTTTTAAGTCAGAACGGATGATTGTTAACCTATTGACAAAATATTTAATGCAGACTTTTTATATTTTTCATGCCTAAAATAATGTCATTTAATGAGAAGCATATGATTTATAAAATAAAATTTAGTTAAATGTTGAAACATTTTAGTAAACAAAATAGTGCCAAGAAACTAGCAATTATACCGGATCTACATATTTCAGTCAAATTTTGAGTGGATGAAAATCGCCGGAAAAATTTAGGCTTTGGCACAGAAGCGTGGCATGTTTATTGGGCATTTATGAAAACACGGTATTCTCCATATTAAGATTCTAATTGTCCGTGATGTCACTCTGTAATTTAGAGCCAGTTTAAGCTACAATGAAACAAGTTTCTGGAGTCATTTCTATCCTATTAGCCACCTTCAAGCAAAAGCTTCTATTGATTTGTATGCGCACTTACTTGAGTGCTCATTCACTTTCCGTTACCTATTATTGTTCTGATAATTACACTTTCAATTTGCTTTTAAATCTTTTCCTTTTATTAGCTTTTGATTGAAAGCAATTTGAACCCCTGCGTCATTATTGAACATACGTGACAATAAATTTGTTTTATTCTGTTTATCGCTATGACTGACAGACCAATAAGGGTATTGCAGCATCTTTGGTTTACGTTTGAAATAAACTACGCAATCGTAAAATCGAATAATCAATTGAAAGCCATTGCACTTTGTTTAGCTTATATTTATTTTTTAAATGAATCAAATCGTAAGTTCCTTGAATACAATTCAAGGAGATTTAAATAGATCTGTTATCACACAGGAACCTTCGAATATAATTTGCTATGTTTGAAAATTGAATTCGCTTGAATAATTTCCTTATCTCTGTCTTTGAATCTGTTGGAATCGGTAAGTTGTTTTTTAAGCCTTTTGTGTCAAATAAAAGAAATTGACAATCAAGCATATTTTATTGCCTATTTGAAGTGAAATAGAACAATAAAATGAAATGCAAATGAGGCTAATTGCCAACAGTAAAAATTGCCTCTAAATGATCTTGAAATCTTAATTCCTACTGAAAATTTGGTTTTGGAGGCAAGTAAGGCGATACTAAGAGTAATCTCGAGTGAGATGAAAATGCACCAAATATGAATTTTCTTGAATAAATCTATTTATTTTTTGGCTTAGATTTTAAATGTAAATCGAATTTATAATAATTTTATTTTGTCCTGTCAAAAATTATCTCCGTTCTAGTTATGCTTATCATCATAGCTATAATTTGTATTTTAGTATAATCAATTGAATAATTTATATTTCAATGTTACTAACTTTCATCTTGCTATAACGTCAGCTCTGCATTCTTCTCACGAAAGGCTTACTTTACGCGAAAACAGACCTATTCACGTCGAGTCAATAAAAATTAGACTTATATTTTGTTAGTTCTGCAATTGAGACTTCGAATCGAGTTTAACTTAAGTGAATCGTATCTACTCCTCTCTAATTATGCAGGCGCATTTCCAAATTTACAATTTCACAATAAACTTGGTGCGAGTTTCAAATCATTTGATGGCATATCAACGTAACCTGAGCTGATTTAGTAAATATCCCCGATTAAGTTGTCAATATTCCTTCTTCAATTTGTAATCGTACATGTACCATTTGCTTTAGTTATGTTTTATTTCAATCTGTGTAGCCATGTTAGATTGTAATCATTGTTTAAACTAGGTTTAGATTTTGTTTTTGAATAAAGTACAAACCACGTCTGTTTTGTTATGTATTTGTTTTGTTCGACGTTCACTTAAAAATTGAAAAAAATGGAAGATTTTTTTACATTATATCACATAAACAATTTTCAAAATAAACTCATTTAGTTCAAGGCAATAACGTTGATCTGGTCATTATTAATAAAATATGAATTATGGTGGTGAACAGACCTTTGAGATTTGGCTATCCCAACATCAAAATAGACTCATGTTAATGAATAACATTAACTTTAAATGATTGATTATTTGAAATCATTTTTCATCTTATATGCTAATTTTATTTGTTATTCAATATGTTCATTTGTGCCATTAAATTGAATTTTCAAAATATTTCAAATGAACGTCAAAAATTACAAACCACTCAAAATT